TTCTTGCACTCTCCCTTCTTCTCGCGCTGCTGGAACTTGCGCAGCCGCCGCGCCCACGTGTCCCGCCACTGGATCACCAGGCTGCTCTTGTCGGCCACGATGCCGCTCTGGTCCGGCGAGTCCTCCGCGTTGCCCAGCAGCAGGTACTTCTTGAGGGGCTTGATCTTGGGGCACTTGCAAGCGATGTCCCGCGAGCGGATCCACAGGCTCTGGTCACCGCGCCGGATGCGGCTCGCGCCCTGCTTGTACACGGAGATGATGCTCACGGTGAACTTCCACCAGTCCCCCGCCTTGTCCGCCTTCAGGATGTGGATCTGGACGGCTGCAAGGAAGCACAGGCGGGCGGTGGGCGCGGGGCGGGGGCTGCCGCCCCTGTGCCCAGCTCCTGTGGCCCGGTGGGCCCCGTCTGCCTGACCCTCCCCGAGGCTGACAGTGGGGCAGCCTGTTTGATGGGGAGAAAAAGGACACCCAGAGCTGGGAAGTGGCTGCACCGAGCCTCCCACTGGGGAAGGGGTGGATGGTGGCAAAGCTAACCTGGAAGCCCACCTCCTGATACCTGGGCCAGGGCCATCGCTTCAAGCCTCACCTCATGCCTGTTTTGAAGGAGCCGCCCAGCACTGCCTTGGGGGACAAGCCCCCTCTTAGGTCCAGGAAGGAAAGAAGAAAACCACGGAACTGACCCCCGCGCCCAGCACTCCGGGTAGAGAGAGTCCATCTGCCCAGGGCAGGTGCCTTCAGCACATCTGGATACCCCTTGCTGGCGAGTAGGAGGGGGACGGGACACAGGACCTACTCAGGTGACCTTCCCCAGACATTTCCCAAGGCCCCAATCACTTAGCACCAAGCTCATGACACCTGCAGACACACAACCTCGCACTTGACGCCTCAGAAAACCATAGTGGGAGCTCAGTGCTCAGGTGCAGTGCACCCTGAACCCACCCTTCAAGGCGCCACAGCACCTCTCCCAGCGTCCAGGGTTCGTGTGCTGCCCACTCCCCATCCCTGCCATGCTTCCCTCCCCGCCCTCCCCTCTCACCTCCTCCAGGCCATTCCCCTTCCTCCCAATTCTCTAGCACTGCGGTCGCCAACCTTTCGGACCTCACAGACCACCATGGTCCACCCTTAGCACATGGGTTCTCAACCCAAAGGGTTTATCAAAACACGCGTTTCTGGGGTGGAAGAGAATGCGCATTTCTCACAAATTCCCACGTGCTGCTGAGCTGCTGACCCAGGGATCACACCAAGAACCAGTGCCCTAGTGAGTGCCACCGAATGTTATTTCTACAAGATATTAAGAGACTTTTAAAACTAGAAAATACCTTTTTTTAAAAAAAAGAAAAAGCTTATTTTTCAAATACTGGCTTAAACAAAGTCAAGAGATTCCCTTACTGCAGGACTTTTCAGAGCATCCTATATAATAAAACCCTAATATGCAAATTGACCAAACAGCAGAATGACCAGTTGCAATGATGCACACTGGCCACCAGGGGGCGGACGCTCAACACAGGAGCTGCCCCCGGTGGTCAGTGCACTCCCACAGGGGGAGCGCCGCTTAGCCAGAAGCCAGGCTGACAGCTGGCGAGCACAGTGGTGGTGGCTGGAGCCTCTCCCACCTCCGTGGCAGCGCTAAGGACCCCTCAGGGGATGTCCGACTGCCAGCTTAGGCCCGGTCCCTGCTAAGCCGGCAGTCAGACATCCCCCAAGGGGTCCCAGACTGTGAGAGGGCACAGGCTGGGCTGAGGGACACACCCACCTGCGCCACCCCTCCCACACAAATGTTGTGCACTGGGCCTCTAGTTTAATCTATAAATTGTGTGTGTCGGGGGGAGCGACTTGGTACATTTCAGTCACCAGAGCCCCATGGGGCCTACTTGGGGAACTGCTGGTGGGGGGACACATTCATTCTCCCCAGTCCAGTGGATAAAGGGAGAGGCCTCTGCCATGACCTCCATTAATGGACTCAGACCCTCGTCTACTAGTGTCCAGGAAGACTAGAGGAATTCTGTGGGAACTGACTGCACCTCAGCACTCTGGGCCAGGTCTGTCTGCCCAGGGCCATATTCCCCTCCCCTTGGTCAGAACAGGGTGACTTCGGTGCTGAGCCCACCGAGCATGCCCTGGACCCTCCACCCCTGGACCAGGCTGAGGAGTACCCTGGCAGCTGAGTGGGTGTGAGTCCCCCCTGAGAAAGAGGCAGCCACTTGTCCCTCCAGATTACATGGAGAAACTGAGTCACAGCAGGCTGGGGACTTCAGCAGCCAGGAGGACATGTCCCCAGGCAGTGCCTAGAGGTCATCGCCTGCCCAATTACAGCTGCAGGCACTGGGCCCACCCACAGTTCAGCCTGGCCTCCCAGGCTGGCCGGCTCCTCCCAGGATTCTGTGGGCCTCCCTGCCACCTTCATTCCCAGGGCCTCTCCTCTCCCCGCCTGGGCCCGGGGTGATGGGAGGGGCAGGGACGGCTGGGCCCAGGGAAGCATGAAACACCATCCAACGCATCCTTCTGGGGTGAGGGAAGTGGCAGATTTTCCCATATTTTCATTTCATCCGTTCTTGGGCATCCTGAACTTTGCACTCCAGTCTGAGGGCTCCAAAGAATGGCTGCCATGGCAACCGTTTCCATGTTTTTGTCACCAAGGGACTCAACACTCAGTGTGAACTCTGATGGGGGCGGGGAACCCTCCAGCCCGAGAGAAGTGGCTGGGTTGTGTGTGTTTGACTGTGCAGACAGAGGTCACCGTGGCAACTGAGTGCCCCTTAGCTAAGCAACGGGGAGCCACCCCCGCTTCCCTGAGAGCCCTGGTTTCCTCTCCTCAGGACTGAGCAGAATACAGAATGAGCCTCCCTCCGGATGCGACTGTCCCCCTGCCTGGAACCACAGACCCCCAACCAGCGTCCCAGCCAGGGTGGGCAGTGGTGGCCGACGAGGATGCTGCAGAAGGCGCCTCTGGCTGGGGCCGTGGGAGAACTTGGCACTGATCCGAGGCCCTGAGCATCTGTGGGTGTCATGCACGAAAATGTGACGCCCAAATCCACATGTTGGCAGTCATAACCCCAGTGCCCCAGAAGGTGACCATATTTGGAGATGGGCGTCTTTAAAGCGGTGGTTACATTAAAATGAAGCTACTGCTGTCCTCACAAGAGGGGATCGGGACACGGACACACACGGAGGAACAGCCACATGAAGACGGTGAGAATGCGCCGCCTGCGAGCTCAGGAGAGAGGCCTCAGAAGGAGCCCGGCCTGCTGACACCCTGATCCAGTGCTTCCAGCCTCTAGGCCTGTGCGACAATAAATGTCTGTCGTTCGAGCCCCGTCTGTGGACTCCGGGTGCTGGGCCTCGGCTGCGGGCCAGGTGGGAGCAGAGCTGGGGAGGCCGCGCGTTCTGAGACCTGGCTGGGCGAGGCCACGCCTTCCTCTTCCTAAGGATTGCCCTGGACCACCAGGCAGGGCATCCAGAGCAGCCCCCACCCCACTTCCCCAGGCTCGGCCAGCACGGAGAAGGGTACCCATTTAACACTGAGGACACAGCCCGGGGGGTGGGGGTACGCACCCCTGGACACCTCGCTGCTCTCGAGAATCCAGGGGTCAGCTCAGGGGACACTGGTCAGTTCGGAGAAAGCACCGGCCCTTGTGCCCCTCCCGCCTGGCAGCTCCTGGCAGCTCCTGGCAGGGGTGAGACGGCACAGGCCCGGGAAGGTGCAGGGAGGGTGGTGGTCGGATTCGCATGATTATCCTGGAAAAAGTCCACATTTCCGCTGCCCTTGGCAACGCCTCCGTACATTACACAGCCCACCAAGTATGAGCTGCACACGCAGTGCACGGGCCAAGTCCCCGCAGTGCACATACAGCTGAAATATTCAAAATACACACTGAGGCGGTGACCTCAGGCAGAGCCGCTCAGCAGGCTCCCGGCGCTCAGGCCGCACGGCACGGCCCGGCAACAGCCCTGCCGCTGGAGCTGGGAAGGACCAGGGTCTCTGGGGACGCGCATCGCCTGCCTGGCGCTGGCATGGTGACCTCGGTGGCTCTGCCCACCTCACGACCATGGCCCTGAGGGCGGGCCCCTTACATACACCCCACAACACTCGCCCCGGGCCACCTAGTCTCAGTCCTCAGGACACCTGAGCCCCCTCAAACTGAGGGCATCCCAAACCGACACCAATGAGGCCAGAACTCGTGTGTTCAGGTGAGGCTCCTCCAGAACGCCCAGCAGCTGTGGCACCCGGGGCCGCTGCTGTCTGCAGGATG